CCCCCTCTTCCTCTCCTGTCCCTGGTCTGTGTGTCAGGTGATGGTGTCCCCCCTCTTCCTCTCCTGTCCCTGGTCTGTGTGTCAGGTGATGGCGTCCCCCCTCTTTCTCTCCTGTCCCTGGTCTGTGTGTCAGGTGATGGTGTCCCCCCTCTTCCTCTCCTGTCCCTGGTCTGTGTGTCAGGTGATGGTGTCCCTCCTCTTCCTCTCCTGTCCCTGGTCTGTAGGATGATGGGGTTTCCTCCTCTTTCTTCTCCTATTCTTCTGTTAGGATGCCTACATCCCACCCTCTTCCTCCAGCATCTGAGCCCAGGTGTGGTTATCCATTTTGCACACTTAAAAGCAATGAGACCACATGTATTGTACTTTATTTTTTTAAACTTTTGATATGAGATCTCTCTGAGGGGCCTCAGATCCGAACCCTCCCGATTCCATCTTCTTCGGAGCTGCTGTCTCTAATGCACACCACCAGGCCCAGCTTCTTGGATAATTTATATGCAATAAGGGTCCAAATAACACCATGGTAAAATAAAGGTTTATAACATATCACCAGATTTATGTTGAGGTAGGAGCTCTGGCCTTTAACTCATACAACACACACACACACACACACACACACACACACACACAATTGGAAATGGATTAAAGGCCTCGGTGTAAATTCTAAAACCATAAAACTCTGCAAGGAAACAAGAGAAAGCCTCTTGCCTGGGGTGGACAGTTTTCTTAGCTGAAGCCGTTTTGAAGGGTGATGTGACCTCAGTGAATTAAGAACTGAAAAGAAAGGGCCAATGAAAGAGTGTCTCCTCAGACTCCCTGGTGCGCCAGGCTCAGGAGGGCCTGCCGTGTGCGTACCCGCTTCCCTCCAGAGTGCTGATGAAGGAGCAGGGCTGCCCATTCCCTGGCCATGTGCTCCACTCCTACACGTATGCCCAAAGAGATGCCGTGCCGTCCACACAAGGACGCGTACGCACAGGTATCTCAATGCCCAGACTCATGAACACTGGACGCTGGTGCCTGGCGGAGCGCACGCGCGGTTCCTGGCACAGGGAATGTGGCCACATGCAGTCACTCTGCCCAGTCCCCCATGGGGCTCTGAGCCTGTGAATGCACTTTTGGCGAGGCCGGGTGGAGAGGGGCTATGGAAGAGCCCTCAGTGTGGCCGAGGTGTGAGCAGGTTTGGAGCAGGCTGGTTCAGGGTAAAGGTCCTGTGTGGGGCACAGACCAGGACAAACCATTTCAGGGGCATCTTGTTGGGCACGAGCCACCAGTTGGGCCTTGGAGAGGGACAGTTCTCCTAACCCAGTAATCCCTTCCACCAGCATCTGTGTGGGGTGTCCCCTGGCTTGACCCTGAACAGAAAGTCCCAGGAGCCTGTGCGTTCTGGTCTGCTCTGCTCCCCCAGCCCTGGTCTCTTTCTGTTTGGCGCAACCCAGCGAGACCCTGTCTCAAGATTAAAAAAAAAAAAAGAAAGAGCTGGAGGTGTGCTCAGGTAGAGGGCCTGGGTTTCATACCAGCACTGTAAAAAAATGGAGAAAGAGAGGGGTCCTGGGGGCTGGGCTGCTCCCTGCACAGGCCAACTGGGGCTACCAGGGACCTAGAGACCACGCTCTTCCCAGGGCCTCTGCTGTGCCCTATGCAGTCCAACTGGGCCTACCAGGGACCGAAGATGGACCTCTTTCCAGGGCTCAGCTGCTCCCACAGATGGCTCCCTCTGAGAGCCCCAGGGAGTGTCCCTCTGCCTGGTGTGCTGCAGAGCTGCTTTGCAGCTCTGAGGTCTGGCGTAGGGGCCACTGGCTCCCAGACCCTTTAATACGCCAAAGGATCCACGTTTGCCACTTATCAGCGCCTGCCCATTCTGGGGAACCGAAGACCAGGCTGACGGAGACACACCCTGGAGGTGAAGAGGAGCCTAGCCTTTGTCTCCGGGTCAGGCCCAGGGCTTCCGGGGTCCCTGAGGGTTTTCATGACACACTCTTGCCTTCAGCCTGATGCAGGGACTGGGGGACCGCCAGACTACTCAGGATGGGGCCGGCTGCAGAAGAACCTGCCATGATGTAATTGCAAGACCTCCCTGGAGGGCAGGACGGAGCCAAGCCCATGGTGGAGGCCTTCTCAGTCAGGGCTGTGTGCATCTGGACTGGTGCTGAGAGGAAGTGGTGCTGTGGCCATGCTGTGGATCCCAGGGAACCCCAGGGGCCCAGCATGCAGGACGCGTGGCTGTGAGGGAAGAGCGTGGTCTGCTGCTGTTTGCGCTGACATGGGCAGTCTGGGGGATGGAGCCCATTTTCTGGGTTTCCCTTAACTCCAGGGGTGGGCTCCGAGTATGCTGAGCCATGACAGGAAGGAATGGCAGGTGGGATTTGTATTCTCCCTGTGTGCACAGTTGGAACACAGATTCACACAGGACCCAGCCTGCCAACCCAGGTCCTTGTTCTTCCCGTCTTGTCTCTGGAAGAAGGCTGCTCTTGGCTGAGCTGAAAGCATCCGACAGATACGCCTCATATCCCAGGGTCTCCACACAGGCACACAGGAAAACACGCGGTCACAAATTGCTTCCCCTTACTGTTCTGCCTTGTGGTAAAACATCAGACCTCGGGTACAGCTCCCAACAGCAGAAGTGGATTCTGGGCAGCTGGGATTGGGGAACCAGACTGGAGATGAAGAGCTAGCCACAAGAATGACGAGGAGGTTACCAAGGAAGAGGGGTACTGGCAGGAGAGGGAACTACCAGGGAGAACCAAAGGAGAGCACACCATGACCTGTCCTGAGTGAC